CGAATATCATCAATATAATGAAAACAATAATATATACAGAAGTTGCGGTCACTAAAGTAAGAAACATTGAAACACCAAACCATTTAATATAAGGCGGTATTCAGTGATGATTATCCTGTTACAATTGCGACTCCATAGGCTTTTGCTTTGGGCTTCAACATCATGTCCCGTCACTTCTTTCCATGATGTCCGTCACTTCTTTCCAGCATCAGTGCCAAATAGGCAATTTGCGGACAATTCATGCGTCTTAAACCATCTCTATGGTTGGACTAAAATTAAATATTTTAATTTGAAAAATTTAGCTTTTAGTTCAGAAATAATTTTTCTGCTCCAATCGTTTTAACCTAAAATTTTAGCTCGAGATTATTAAAGAATGAACTTGGGCTTTTTTTTGTTAAATTAATTTTTTTAAATAAATATGTAGACTATCGTAAATTAATTTTATAAACATTTTAATCTAAAAAAATTTAAATTTCAATAAATATTAGGTGAAGTCCACTCCGATTTATGGGCTAAATTTTGGGGGTAATTTGGCCTTGATTTAGCATTTAGCATTTAGCTCAAATTTTCCCCTTGGGTTAAAGTGGGTTTGGGGAGAAATTTTGAGGGGTAATTTGGCTTTTAGCCCACCATTGGAGTTGGTATTAGGAAGGCAGATTGTCTTCCCTCCAAGGTGTCATTGTCATCGACTTCTATTTATGTGATCACGGTTAAACCACGTCAATATTTTATATTACTATTATTTGTTGTCTTATTATCTTTATAAAAAAATTAATATAAAATATTAACGTAGCTTAACCGTGATCACATAAAATAGAATGAGATGGGAAGGGCACCAAACAAGAGGGCTGACAATCTGCCTCTGCGTCTTAGATCTCTGTTTGAAGTAGATCTCCTAATTTTTCATACTCTTATATTTAGGACAAATGCACGTTAAGATTAAGTTGGTCTCATGACTATTTGGATTGTTAGAAAATATACATGTGAAGGTCTTTTAAGAACTATCTTAATGTTTTGTACCAGTCTTTTTTGTGTCAACCAAGTATTTGATGTAATGTTTGCTAGGCATATCTCGAAATGTATCGATATCTATCCACATATGCCCAATATGGTGTAACTAACGATAATAATCTCACTAAATGTTGGAAGAAATATCTCAATAAATAAACTGATTTGCAATATTTGCACCCTGTTTCTATTTAGAAAACTTAAATCTTTAACAATAGACTTTCAAGGTTCAAATCTTGAATTCACTTTATTTTGCAAATATCTTAAATTTTTTATCTTTTATCTTATTTTCGACCAAAGAAAGAGAAAAAGGACAAAGTCTGCTTTATTATTTAGAAACAAATTTAGTTTCTCAAACATTACCTTATATTTTAATGTGCATGCACGCATGAAAAGATGAATGAGGATCATCTTCAAATTTTCTTTGTGAGGATCCTAAAAATTCTTAAATCATTTCTGTTCATCGTACATTATGTATTCAAAAATTATTTTAAATTAAATATAAATAATATATGATAAAAATTGATTGCATAATATAACAAATACGATTTAAAAATCTTTAGAATTCTCGTAATAAGGATCCTCCCGGTGAAAAGACAATGGTTCATCAGTCCTGTGTGCAGGCCAGGTTTACAATGGTTCATCAGTCTTTTCACTCTGTCTTTGTGACGGTGAGAATCTCAAGTGATGTTATCATCCACAGAAATCACATATTTATTTAGCTAAACAATCCCTTTTTTTTTTTAAGAAAATTTAAGAAAATAGTTTGAAAATTTTAAATTTTAACGATAAAGTAAATAATATCAAGATTAATTTTTTAATATAAAAATATGATTTTTCGTTAAAGTGAATACTACCGTGGACTTTTATTTAGAACCTTTTTTTTTTCCTTTCTTTTTTTCTCCACTGAGAGTGACTAGATTGATAAATTTTTTTAATATGTTATGAATACGGTTTAGTCATAATATATCAAGTATAATAATATAATTAATTTAAAGATTAAAAAAAATTTCTAACTAATTGTGTTTTACTCCACAACTAAAAAAAAATTCGAGTAAATCTTTGTCAAATCCCAAAATTGGGACAACTTTTGTAATTTCTTTTAATTACTATTCTTTCGTTTTTGTCCCTATCCTTGCTCAAGGTACTTGAAATGTCTCGCTCTTCTCGTCCATGCAGATCATGCTCTTTTTTATTTATTACAATAAACAATGAATTCGTCATACATAGAGTGCATTATTGCTAGATGCTGATAACGTGGGGAATTTGTATTTTCATTGTTTGAAAGCGATACGTAACAAATGTTCCACTAGTCAACCCATCACCACCAAATCTTGCAATATAAACCTACGTTGACCCTATGCAACTAACTTTTTTCAAGTATATTTGGTTTTTGGTTTTGAACATTGGTTCATCTGATCGACAATCGAGTAACGATTAGCATACACTAATTAATATATAAGTTTAACAAGTGAATGACGATTTCGATGTTAAATTCTTATGATAAGGTTATTGTGTGATTTAGCTCAATTCTTCCCACTTCTTAATATAAATATATTATTGTACTAAAAACTATTGTTTGTAGTGGCGTAGTCAGAATTTCTAATAAGGGGAGTCCACCTAACTTTAATGTATTGGATCTCACATTAATAATAATTATTAAGAATTTACAAGTTTAATAATTACAACCTAATTGTGTTGTCGTTCCAAAATCGTATGATAATAAACTAATGTTAAATATGTTTTATCAAAAAAAAGAGATTGAAAAAAATAAATACACAATAACAGTATCAAATGCTGATTTAAATTTACTGAAAAAATCAAACAATTTCAAGACTCAGATGTGAATAAATTAAAAAACTTGAGGCAAGAATGAAGTGACATGCACCTTTAAGTCAAAGTGTCTTAAGCCTCCTAATCCTAGGTGCATGATATTATATTATATTTAATGATGCAAATATTATTGTACAAATAAAAAAAATTAAATATAATATATAAGGAGACATATTTCCAAGATATTGAGAAGGGTCAAGCGACCTTGTTGGCCTTAATTGGCTCGGCTGGTGAATATATGATTTAGCTCAACTCTTCACACCTCTAATATAAATATATGGTTATATTAAAAATAAATAGGTCAATTTTCTGATAATCCTTGTGCTATAAGTTGGCGTTTTCTGTGATACGGTGATAGAATAGCCAAATTGCGTTGTGTTACTTCTTAGTCCACTGTCGATCAAAGAATGTCCAAAATTACAGTCAAAGATCTACACCCACATCGAAAATATTCGTCGAACTTGGAACTACAAAACAAATAAAAACAAGTCACATCGGAATAAATGGTCCGACTTGCACTTATAAGTTAGAAGTTAAAACATTTCCATCACACAAATACATGCACACAGCACACATATATATATATTGGAAGTTAATTCGAGAAGGTCGGCAAGAAGAAAATGGAGTTATAATTATTGAGCATCAGAAAGATGCATTCATGCCTCTCGAGTCTCACCTAACCAGGACATGTGAGAAATGTAGCTACTACGAATCTTGCTGGAAACGTTGTGCTACTGCTACCACGACCTTACTGCCAGTCTTGCCTGTTAGTCAATAATATTTACATGTATCACTACTATGTTTGTCACTCCAACCCTCTTTTTTTTTTCGTGTTCATAGTTTCGTAGACGAGTATATATATGTATATGTAATTAGAAATCACCTTTACTCAACACACCTCAAAACCCTAACCGGCTAATCCCCAGAGAAGTGTAAATTGGGACAGTGATCGATGCATGATGAAAGAAGCAAGTCCAATTAGGGCTGCAGAGAAAAAGAAAGGAAAATTAGTTGCAGATTTAGGCTTATAGCAAAGTTGGTTAAAACAGTATACCTAATATCTATACTTAAATTCAAATCTTTTTCTCTAATTTAGATGAATAAATCAATACAAATTATTTATCATTTATTTAAATTATTGATCTTGGACTCTAATATTACGTGACAACTATCTGACAAACAGACGATTACATTGGTTAGTGATAGTGTGTAGTGGTTATCTTTGCCGGTGAGTAATGGTAGTGGTTAACCTCAGGCTATCAAACTCTTGATTTGATATAATTCATTCATTTGATAAAGACCCACCACTAACCAATATCAACTTAATTACATGCGCTTGTACCATTCAATAAGTGTGAATTTAGATTTTTAAGTAGTTAATAATATATCAGGTGAAGTAGGTGTGGCTGTTGGGCTTCACCTGCTCTGATACTATAAGAAAATTGAGGTTTCATTGTTAAATCAATTGACAATATAGAGAGTAACTTAATCTCTTACAAGTCCTTGCATGGTTTAATCCCTCACCGATATGATACTTTGTTCTCACATATCTCATGCCTCCTCACATGTGACGAATTTTTAGACTTAACACGTGAACAACACGAATAAAATCACGTAAAGCACGTATCACTCAATATAATTTGTATTTTGGTTTGTCTTATTTTCCACGTCGCTTTCTTCAACCATTGAAATTTGAATGGTTGGCAAAGAAAAGAGAGCATCTTCATCGTTCATTGGGCAGACCCAAAAAAGCAAGTGTGTCCTTTGTGAACATAGAAGCCCAGGAGATAAAAACATTCTAACACTAGAATTGGGCCTCAAGCAAAGTAAGGCTTCAGTGTATTGGGCCTCAAGCAAGACAGAGTAATCCTAATTTTTTAGAAAAACTTATAAAATATACTTGAAAACTTTGAGTTCTAACGATAATGATAAAATAAATGGTAAATTGAATAGTATCATGATTGACTTTTTAGTGTAAAAATGTGGTTTTTCGTTAAATTAAACAGTACCGAAAGTTTTTCGTTAAAGTTCTCTAATATTTTTTTCCTATCTATTTTTTCCTAAGTTAGATAAATAGGTTTATGTGGCTATAAGACATTCGAAAAATAACTTACATAGTAAAAAAAAAACAAATTAAAATTAAACCATTGTGGTAAAATCTTCGAGGATTCATGTCCATAACTGATCTGTCGTTCGTGCGTTAATCGCTTCACTTGATACGGAAGCAACGCACCCACCAATCTGTCTGTCTGATTATTCTGACATTAAAAATCTCGACTCCAGTCAACTTCTAGATCTGTTTGTTTCCGGACTGTAAAAGTCCACCCCCTCACAATCCATCGTCTTCTCCGAGCTCACTCTGCACTCTGCACACAAACCACTGTTCTATCAGATTACCGAACGGATTGGTTGGGATTTCAGAACCAGCGACGGGTGAGAAAATGCACAGCAGGGGTTCAAGTGCTCGTCTCTCCGGCACCGTTTTCCGATCTCGGATTCCGACCCTCTTGGTCTCCATGTTCGCCACTTTCGCCTCCATCTATATCGCCGGCCGGTTCGTTCTCTTTCTCTTCTCTCTCCCACCTCGTTTGATTTCGCAGAAAATTGGATTGGACCCATGTGATAAATTTTGTTTCTTTCTTTTCCTCCCTTTTTATTTGATCTGGGAATTCTCTGACATTGATGATTATGTGTAGGCTGTGGCAGGATTCGGAGAGCAGGGTTTATTTAATCAAAGAACTTGATAGGATTACTGGGCAGGTGGGTTTTTCTTGGTTTTGTATCTATGATTGAAATTTCGGTTCTTTTCATACATTGAGTCATGTGGGTGCTTTTGTAAGAAGCACTTCTGCTCATAAAGGCTTTTACTAGAAGTTCCTTTACTTAAAATCCAAGCTTTCTGAACAGCACTTGGAAATGCCCGTAAACACCGTAGAAGTTTTTTCTGCCATTGGTTTTCAGGAATTGCTTTTAGCATTTGCAGAAGCAGTCCTGAACAGGCCGTTAATTTGGTTTTTCAGTCAAAACAATCGGATTTTTTCTTTTTCGGCCAATGCCCTTCTGTACTAGCTCAAACTCAGATGTATAATGCTTGTATAGATAGTTGAATTACTCGCGAATTAATCACTCGAAACTCATTATTTCTTTAGGGCGATCCGTCATATCAGTGGATGATACATTGAAAATCATAGCCTGCAGGTAAGATTTAGTCATTTCTTCTATGGTGTAGTTGAAGATTCGTGATTGAGCTTTTAATGATTTTTGGTTTACATATGAATCGATAATTCTGATGTGGGCAACTATGTCGTTAGGGAACAACATAAGAAGTTATCAGCGCTTGAGATGGAGTTGACTGTAGCTAGACAAGAGGGTTTTACTTTGGGGCGCTCAACAGAGATTAATGGAACTGATTACAAGAGAAGGCCACTAGTGGTGATTGGTATTCTTACAACCTTTGGTCGCAAAAATAATAGGGACGCAATTCGTCAGGCGTGGATGGGAACAGGTACATTACCGATCTTTCTATCTATCACCTATTTTCTCTTCCTTACGTTTAAATTTGTTTTACTGTACCATGGAACGCATATAAATTTGGTCTTGCTTATAAATTCTTAAACAATTACAAATAATGTGGAATGTTGTGAAATGTTCTCGTCTAAATGTTTTTGTTCTAGTAAGAATATTGAAGGTTTTAATTTTTGCAGGTGCTGCCTTGAAAAAAATGGAGAATGAGAAGGGAATAGTTGCTCGATTTGTTATTGGACGAAGGTTTACTTTTCACTATATTCCTTAATTATGTCATGCTCCATGCCCGACATACTATAACAGTTGTTTAGAGCCCTTCATCCGATATATGTTGTCCTGCAGCGCAAATCCTGGGGATAGCTTGGACAGAGCCATTGACAACGAAAACAGGCAAACTAAGGACTTCATTATTCTTGTACGTCTTAGCGGTCATTGAATTAAAGTAAAATTAACTTCCTTTTAATTTGGTACTCATATGCATCTGGCAAATGTCAGCTTTAGTAATGCGATCATTTTCGCTTGCATTATTGTCAGGATATCCATGTAGAGGCACCTAAAGAGTTCCCAAAGAAGACTAAATTGTTCTTCGCTCATGCTGCTGAAAAATGGAATGCTGAGTTTTACTCCAAAGTCAACGACGATGTTTATGTAAATATTGGTCAGTAACATCATTTACGAAATGGACTCGTTTTTCATTTCACATTTTATGTCATTAGCATTTGTTAACACTGTAGGTTGCTCTTCATGACTTATGCCTTTTTTCTTTTGGCTCATCTCTGCCCAGATGCTCTGGGAGCTACACTTGCAACTCATCTAGACAAACCTCGTGTTTATATGGGGTGCATGAAATCAGGCGAAGTTTTCTCTGAGCCGTGAGTATAGTCTTTACATTGAAATACAACCTGTTAACAAGATAAGAGGTAAATAACTGCGATGATCTGTAAATTTATCATGTTTATGCTTGCTGGTCTATTTCAGGAGCCAAAAATGGTATGAACCAGAATGGTGGAAGTTTGGGGATAGAAAATCGTAAGTTGCGCCACAACTCATTTCATCACGCTATCAATAGTAAATTATATTTTTGATTACTCATAATAATTATTTATCGGAGAAGAATGTTAGAGTGTTTAACTTCCGAAAACAGTTATTTACGATGATGTCCACAACATGTATGCAAAAAATTGTTAATAACACCCGCTCGAGTAGAACATCTGATAGTCTGCTTTGCACTGACCAGTCATGCATTTTGAGTTCCCCAAATACTTTCCTCTTAAAAGTTTAAAACTGAAAACTATGTTTCTACATCCAACAGATATTTCCGCCACGCTTCAGGTGAGATGTACGTCATATCGCAAGCTTTGGCCAAATTTGTTTCAATCAATAGGTGAGTTTTCTTCTCCGGTGAACTGGTTCCATTATTTGTCATCACTATGAGAGCAGTGACTGAATTGTGGTGAACTGATTCTGCAGAGGTATACTCCATACTTATGCCCACGATGATATCAGTGTCGGATCTTGGTTTATTGGGCTTGATGTTAAACATGTAGATGAAGCCAAGTTTTGTTGCTCCTCTTGGGCGGGAGGTCTCTTTCTCTCCCTCTTGGGCTTATTCTCTCTCTCTTTCTGTCTCTCTCTCACACACACAAACACGCACACACGCACACAAGCACACAAGCACGAGAATTACGAGCCACTTCAATTTCATGTGTTACCTCCCCAGAGGTGGTTAATTAACATAAGTCTCTGCTCTCACAGGAGCTATTTGTGCCGGTGTTTGATTTGATTTGTGTTGGGATCGCGGAGAAAATATCAGTGCAGGGAAATGGTTCAAAAGATATTTTCGCGTCCTTAGCGATGTTTGCAGCCTACATGATGTAGAGCTTTTGATATGGTCTCTTGCCCATCAGATGAAACTGGATTTGGCTCACGGCATGTTGTGCACTGGAGAGCGGGAAGACGGGATTTCGAACGGTCATGATAGTTGTATAGGTTTAATTATACAATTCGGAGAGATTAGCATAGGATTAGGGTGGCACTTTTGCAGCAGAAGTAGACATTTCTTCTGTAGTCTTGGAGAACCCCCTAGTTTTTGTGCTGGGTTATTATTTTTTGTTCAAAGAAATAGAAATTTGTGATTTCCTTTTCTCGATTTAATAATAATACGACATGATTAGTTTTGAAAGGCTTGTTAATTATCATGTTTTGTAGAGAAAACTTACACGAGATGATACAATTAGACCGGAATGTTACAGTGACGATGAATGTAAGTCAAATATCATGTCATGTGGAGAAACACTTACACATGATGTGATATTATTAGACTAGGACGTTACAGTTACGCTGGACGCGTGTACTCAATTTTATCCGATGGTCTCCAATCAAAAGTAACATAATGTGTTGCGTACCATCGCAGTGTACATGAGAAAACAAATCTGAAACAAACATCTGTAAGATAACATCGTAAATACGGGAGTAACGTTTCGCGAACGCTCTCACGATGAACTGTTGAGAAAATGTGCTAGGGCCTTGTCCGTGTCGTTGTCATACATCATTAGGGCTTCAGCAACAGCGTTTGGTGAAAATCCCATCTCTCGTAGAAGGGTGAATGCATTGACGAATTCTCGAACCTATGAGAACAGAAACAAAATCATTCATGCGGTAAAACAGCTAAGCGTGATCGTAACTATCAGCAACCTTTATCATTGGTATAAATGTTCAAGCTTAACGTGCAAGCAAAGAGCTCGAGAAAGCACCTTAGTAGGATTGTCTCCGTAATTTGCTACTGCAAGAGGAACTGCTTCCCGGCTGAGCCCTGAAGCGATATATTTGCTGACAACGGGATCTGCGCCAGAACCCTGCAATACCAAAATTACACAGAAACCTAATTTCAAGAAACAAATCCAGCCAAGAAACATCATGCTCAACTGAAACAAACACAGAAACGGAACCCAATTTCGTAGTAACGGACTTTGCATTCTAATGACAGATCTGATACCCGGAAAAACTACCTCTCTAAGAAACTCATGTTGGATTCACATTCATTACAAGGCTTGCACAATGAACTACTAACCAGCTACAACGGCAAAGAAAGACAAGATGCGAAAGCAAAAGAGACAATCACATACCGACGAAGGTGGTGGTTCTACAGCCCTCGGTGGTGGAATGTTTTCCAGCCCGAGCTTGGCCCAATTCGGAGTTTCCTTTTCTAATTCAGCCAAGACTTTCCTCTCGAGATCAAAATCGAACTGGAAATTGCTCCGCGGTATATCTCCAACGTGCGATGACAACGGAGGCTAAAAAAAGAGCAAAATTAAGGCCAAACCCAGTAGTACGAATCAAACATTATCTTACACAACTTCGTCTAAGTAACTAAATAATCAAAACACAAAACTTGATTCTCAATAAACATTTCGCTGATTGACATCTACCCAATTCTTCAAATTTTAAATTTCAAAACACAGATCAAACATTTAGCCAACAATCATGAACATAAAGCAAGCAAAAAACGGAAACTTTTACAGATTACTTGACAGTAATTTGAAATCAAAGCTTACCGGCGGAGTGATCCGATACTCCGGTTTTAAAGTAACTCGAATGCCCAATCCCGCTGCAATTTCAACAAAACAAAAATCGATCAATTAAAAAACCCCTTAACCAAAAATTTCAATCAAATTAGGGAAAAATTAGATGATGGTTTGGATTCAGCTTACAGGAGGAAGACGAAGGAGGATTTGAGGTTTGGTGGTGGGGCTGGGGACGGCCTGAGTTACCGCCGTACGGCGGCGGGGCCGCCGTGTGGCTCTGTTGACCCACCCGCGGGTACATGGACGACGACGACGACGGATGTCCGTACATCGGATGGCTAGACGGCGCCAATGATGTGGCGGGACGGTAGTTCGGCATTTGACCGGACCGAGTTCTGTAATCGTAATCCATTTATCTCAGCGGATTTTGTTTCGGAGATTCAGAGAGGAACAAGAAAACTGAGAAAAGTGAACTTCTTCGAGATGAATGCCGGGAGAGCGCGTTTTGTTACGCGGGGTTTCTTAAACGACGCGTCGTTTTTCACAAACGAGATGGAATGTGATAAACGACATAACATCGAGTAGGAGGTCTCGTTTGCTCACTTCTTATGATCTTTTAGTCACAAAATGAATCAAATGATTGAAGGGAAGCTCAAGCTTTATACCTCCTTCCTCGTTCGAAAGTTAGACCACATAACTGACTAACTTTTTAATACAGATGAATCCTACATCAGTTAAAGTGATGCAAATAACATTACTCGATGCATACATGAGGAAGTATTTTTCAAGGAATAGATACAAGAGGCAATCACAATCATAAACCAAAGATGTGGTCGTTTGAACCAAACATGGCAGCACTAAACTGTCTTGTGTTCAAGTCACCCCCATCCAGAGCAGACCCGAACCGATCAAGCCATTGAGTAGGGCTTGGGCTATCACTCTCCTCCACCCACTCTGATGTCATGTCAATGTCGTCGAATTGAATCGGATCTGCTTCCAGAGCTTTCGTTCTCGTCTGCCTTGCTAACTTGAGGTTGTAGTTTATGTAGACGAGGTCATTGAGTGTTTCTCTATCGATCTTATTGCGCTTCTCCGAGTGAATCTGCTGGAATGCACTCCAGTTCCTCTCGAATGTGAATGTGCTGCAAACTTGGCTGAGTATTCTGATGGCAACACGTTGCAACACGGGTGCAGAATCGCCATATTGTTCCCACCAAAGGCCTAAGGCGCATTACAAGTTAGTTTCCAGATGTAAGAAATAAATGCCAAAGTTTGTGTAATTTTGAATTGCATACTTACCAGGTGAAACTACATCTCTTGCTTCCATTGCAAGGCTGCAACCGAACATCCCAGTTGCCTTCGTAAATGTAAATATTTGACTCGTGATGTCGCGTCTCATCTCAGGCACAGGCAGAAGCTTCTCCAGAACTTTAAAGAAGTCCTCCTTTATAGATGTAAGAAATTTAATTTCCGGATTGTATTGGATGCCGGGGTTTAAAAAAGCTGCTGCTGCATGTAGAGGCGAATGGAGTTGATCCCGCCACTTTCTGTCTACGATATCTAAGAAGGTCTTGCACTTATTCTCATCCATTATATAGTATGTCCTTATCGATTCCTTGGCCCTGGTCATTAGCTCATATATATAACCCACAGCAGGTTTTCCTCCAGACACTTCCCTCAACACTTTAAGAAATGGCTCGGAGATGGCCACACTCTCTTCCACTGCCCTCCAGAAATCATTGTCCTCGATAATGGAAATACACGAAATGCTCTGTGTTTTATTCGCATAAGATGAGTTGTTGCAATACTCAGGGCTGTTGAACATGTGCTTCAACCTTGACCGTTGCTTCAAGATAGATTGCAAGGAGAGGAAGTTGGAAACAGACTTCGTGATGCCGGTTCTAATGAGTTCCTGCCCCCCAGTAAACTTTTTCATCAGATCAAGCATCGGGGCATTGTTATAGATGAACTTCGAAATGGTTTGTGCTTGTAAGATGCATCTATTCACCCAATCTACCTTCGAGAATTCCTCCAAAACAAGATTTAAGCATTGAGAGGCACAAGGAGACACAAAGATGGTTGAATAATTCTGCAAGATATGGTTTGCAACCCCGGTATAGTTTAAACTACTATCCATGATGATCTGCACAACATTTTCCGGGCCAAAATCTTGTATAACAGAATCAAATAAATCCGCCAAGCATTTTGTGTTCTTGAAATACTGCAGATGCATCCACCGACTTGTGAAAAAAGGTCCGTGAGGGTGATGAAACCAAAAAGTTGATTAAGGCTCTTGACTTATTGTCAGTCCATGTGTCAGCGATGATGGTGCAACCTGTGGTGGTCCACTCTTTTTCAATATCTTTCGACTGTAGGCTCATTTCAGACTTGATACTTTCCAGCCATGTAGTCTTCAAAGTTTCTGCAGATGGACCTACAAATCCAGGACCACACTTTGTTATGGCATCAATCATTTGCTGATAGGATGAAGAACGGGCTATACTGAAGTCAAGCTTGTTCTCGAAAAAGAACAGCGCAATACTTCTCTCTGCATTCTCATGGCTATTCAAGGGGGGAGGCCCGGAAAGGACCACTGGAGTGACGGTGACATTAGGAAAAACTTTCTGAATTGGAGTTGGTGGGGTGTCCAAAGACACGAGAGGTTTACTAGCAGAGACATTTCCAGTTCCAGGAGATTTCACTTCAACTAATTTTTGCTTTTTACTACTAGGAGTTTCTTTGATCTCGTCCCTTGCTGCTATTATGGTCCTCACCTTATCAGTAACATCGTCTCTTACTTTGCTACACGGATTTACACCCTTACTTGGAAGTCGAGATAGATGATGCTTCAATCTACTAATGCCACCATTCAGAATTCTCTGGCAAAACTTGCATCTCACCTTGTTTCCATCCAATTTATCAGCATATTCCCAACAGGAGTCCTTCTCTCGAACCACTGCTACAACATAACCAGAAAACCAATTCACGTCATCAAAAAATGCAGCAACAAAAACTATTCTGACGAGAAGAACTGAACACAATAATGCAATGACGCGAAGTAAATTTAACAAACGGACATGCTAGTGGCTAACATTGTACTTGATGATGGAATTGTCGATGATGCATAGAGGTTGTGAAGAAAAAAATGAAATCACAACGCTGCAGAGACTACATTCTGAACAAGACGACATCACAGTAGTGCGATGAACTTACTTCTTTCGGGCGCTGTATGTCAACCTACGATGGTGCAAAGCAAAACTCAGCAGAAAGTAGCTGATTATCAGGTCTCCTGGTATGCGCATGCCTGCGCCTGTTCCGTTCCATACATTTCAAAAAGGTCAAAAATGAAGAAGCAAGAAGATTGTGGATGAAATTAACATATCAGAACAATCCTAATGGACAGAAGCAGATTTGCAGCGCAAGACAAAGTATACAACTTTCACTTTAAAGTGTTTTTCTTTATACGACAAAGCGATATTCTAAACTACTCTAATCTAAACGGATGGGGGATTCAAACTCAGGAAAAGTAGATGGGCACTCGGCCCAAGCCAACTAGCCTAACCGACGCCTAAATGCTACAACTCACTACAACTTCATGTTCAATTGTTCTTCCTTCCTTCAAACACATAAATTTGTAATCTTTAACACTCTAAATCCACAAATCTCCAAAATTGCTTTGGAAATTCAATTTTTAAAGCAAAATTTGGCACCCAATGAGTTCAAATTCATATCTTTAGCTCCGCCTTCATTTTCCAGGTAAATTTTCCAAGGAAAGTTTTGACATTTTCCAGGAAAGCAACAAAAAGTCCCCGGGGAACAGATAACCCTGCAAACTACTACCAGCGTTTCTCTCTTCATCTCCAGTTTCTCAGTAACCAAACAAACGAATCAAAATCCCAAATTCCAAATCAAAGATTCAACTTCTCAGAGAGATGCAAATGTTTGAAATTGTTGGAGAAATTAAAGAAGCAAATTGACAAGAGAAATAGCGAGAAATTTAAGCAAAACTTACAGAGATAGAGAGAGGAGACTGGTTATTGGTTCTCGACGGAGACAAAAACGGAGGCGGGCTGATTTTTCAGGTTTTCCTTTAATTATCGCGATAAATCGGAGCTTTGGGGTTTCCGTTTTGTATCGCCCGGACTGTGTGCGGATTTAGGTTTTTCTTCTTTATCCTCTCTTTTCTCGTTCCTTCTTTTTTCGACTTTTTTGCTTTTATTTTTATTTTTTGTTAAACTTTTGGATTTCTTTGACGATATATCGCGGTTAGGTTGTGGGCTGTGGGCTTCTACTTCCGAAAATTCATTGCTTTAGGCCTGCCGTGCATATCCATGCCATCATTTCATATCAACGATATTTCTCTTTACTTGTAGGTGATAAGTTATGAGTTCGGATTTCACGAAACACAATTTTCACCTCTTCCTATCCAATGTTGATCCTAGTTTTTTAGTGCACTTAATTCATTTCATCTTACCGAACTTAGGTTTTGATTTCTGGAATAATTCAAATCTTATAAAAAACCATCATGATTCTTCACAATTTCAATCCAAGTAAGACTCGACCAAGCAACGCCTAAGTCTGATCCCTTAGTAATCCTTAGTAATCCCACTTTTATTAGGGCTCGGTCAAATCATCCTTTTACGGGTTCAGAATCCACCTGGCATGAAGGATCGCTATTGGGTTGAGACTCGAGAGTCACGACATTCCTTCTTTACTCATCCCTTCTCGCCCCAAATCTAGTATTTTAGGCTCAAATACATTGTATAAAAAATAAATCGGGAATAGCGATTGGCAAGTATGATGTAGCAATGTTCAATGAATTTATGACCTTCTTCCAATTTGTTTTTTCAAATGTTAATTTAGTTTCAAGCTCCATTATTCTTCCTAAATTTATCTATTACTAGTTTTACGAAAAAGTTGACAAATAAATCAATTACGATAAATTGACACGTTTTAAAAGATCATAACCAAATTGATATTTGAAGAGGCAAATTTAAATCGTCCTAAGTTTTGGGGGACATTGCTAAAGTAGGTGACCCATTCGATTGTAACCTTTGGATGCCAAATTGCTAATTATTGACCAGTACAGTATGACTTGGAAAAATGGATAAGAATTGTCTGCCCTTCCATTTTAGGTGTACTTCTGTGCATTCTGTTTGTGTGGTCACGGTTAAGTCATGTCAACATTTTATATTATTATTTATTTTTATCTTTTTATTCTACAAAAAAATAGCAATATAAAATGTTGACGTGATTTAATCGTGACTACATAAAACAGGAGGGCACGGAAAAACACCGGAAGTGAAAGGGTGGACAATCTTTGTACTGAAAAAATAAATGAAAGGCTCTGATGGTTCCAGTACACTCGTCAGCTCTACATCAGAAGGCCCACGTTCCTTGTTCTTTTCTCCACGTGGCAACATCTCATGGACCACTGTAACATCGCCTACAAAGCCATCACCGTTGATTGATGCCTGTGTCGGCCTAACCTAACAGCAATTTTCGCGCCATCTTCGGTAGGCGTGTGAAATTTCCAATGGGACTAAAGGAATGAAATACACGGATCCATGTGTTCGCATCGAAGAATTCAAAAATCTGGATCAATTATTTTAATTTTGCGGTTCTTATTAGTTTATCTGTTGATTTACTTCATACAAATTAAATATACGAATCTCTTTTTTTTTGAACAACCTGAATTTTTAAGTTCGCTAGCTCTGTAATTCGAGATTCATAGAGGATCTCGATTGGTATTATGGAGGTTAGGTGAGCAGTGCAAAAGATAGTTGCTAATTTGTCATTACTATTGATTAGTGTCCTTAACAATTTCAATAATTGATGACCTATGCATTAAATTTAAGAAAAACTAATGAAAAGAGTTTGAAAGCTTTGAGTTTTAACGAAAATGATAAAATAAAGGGTAAAGTGAATAGTACCAATATTGACTTTTTAGTGTAAAAATGTGGTTTTTCATTAAAGTTAACAGTATTATAATCTTTTCATTAAAGTTTTCTTAAATTTAACACTAAAATAGGTGATTACTCCCTATGATTAACAATTTAAAATAGAACTGAGTACCAACTTCATATCCTATGAAATTATGAAAAATTACACACATAAAGAAGTACCTAATCCATTGGACCATTGCATTTTTATTGTCATTTGCAAATCTCTCCTTGAAGAGCTAACAACTGTTAGTATTGCGGTGTTTTGAGGTACATAAACGTATTAAGTTCGGACATCAATAACTCGTCTATTAGGGCTTTCACAACTCATTCATTAGGCCTTTTACAATGATTTAGATGAGTACGATATTTATATATATGGACCAAACATCCTTAGTTTGATTTCTACAATGCTACTCTACCTTAATGTGATTTCAATATATTAGTACCTAACTCACGAGCTTGATATATTAAACTCACGAGTCTAATATATCGAACTCGCTAGTATTGAATCACCGTAAAAGTGTGATTCATATATAAGTTCAATAATTAATATTATACTTACTTTTCTCGGCCTACTAGTACTAGATAAGGCCTTAGATGGTGTGAAAATCTTTAATAGATCATGACGTAAAGACCATAGAAGCGGTGATACATTACTCAGTTAAATGTCTCAATGGACCATAACGATATAAGTTAAATGTACTTTAGAAAAATTGCAAACATTGATGACGTACTGAGTTGCTTTAACTAATTTTATACTCGAAGTTCAGTGTTTGATTTAATCGTCGGAGAAAAAAAAACCAATGGAAAAAGTACTAATTCCACGCACTAATTGAAAGTGGGGATTTGCAATTTGACTATCTACTATAAAATTGGTTTACTTGAGTTGTTGTCCATCGAGACGTCATCGCCTCGCAGGAGTGGTGACAGAAATATGGCTCCAAACTTTCAACATTTAAAAAAGAGGAAAAATACAAATTTCTTTTTGGTACGTAATTACGACAAAACGATAAGATATTAAACAAGAACATAGTTGGCTAGAAGAAAAAAATAATCCAATGATTGCGTCCTCTACAATTATATAAAGGCTTATTAATTAAATTACGTCTGAAACTGTTACTCAGTCTCAATTAATTTATGGAATTGATTTTGTTTATTTTGCTTTGAGAAACTGTCGTTTTTAATTCATTTGCTCTCACTTTACACCTATTTTATTAAAAAAAAAAACGTTAAATTCAAACCTAATAATCATTTATTTCTTTCACAATTTGCTTTGCCAGGGAGACCAGTCGACTGAACTGAAGAGCTGAATGGAGACACGATAAAACAGTTGTATAAAAAATGAGATGTCTAAGGATTGGTTCAAAAAATATTTTAGGAAGCACTTTAAGTGCTTTTCCGTAATTTACTTGCATTTTTACTAAGGATTGGTTCAAAAAATATTTTCACAAAAAACGTTTTCAATGATTTTAAAACGAGCTAAAGAGTTGAAAATGACAAGTTTCAAAAGTAAAATGAGAAAAACCAAATTCACCGGGGTAAATTGCAACCAAATGATAGTTTTACAGAGTAATTCAATTAATAAGCCTTATATAAATGTTATAATAGTAACTATCTATTATTTGTTTATTATTTAAAATTTATTTCTGCATTGAAACAAAATAGTTGCTTATGCAAAAATAAATCAAATTAAAGATCGTTTAAATGTTCACCCCTATAACACAAATGAACATTTATCCATACGGAATTGTTACTTGTACTTTAAAATTTTCATTTTGCTCTTCAAATTTTATATATTTAGCAAGAAAAATACATTTATGAAGAGTCTAAAATGAGATTTCTGACGTGCTAATAATATTTTCTTATTCATATTATCTTCAGATAACGAACGAGATAAGTTTTTTTAAGTGATATATTTATACATCTAAAATACGTCAATCACGAACTGAATGAAACAAAATATGCCTAAAAATGAAAAACAAATTCTCGAGCACACCAACTGCACCACCAGCGTTAGACAAAATTATTCAACCATTGTTTAACTAATAATATTTAGCGTCTTCTTCGTCGCTTGGTCTTCTCCACAACAGTCCACATGCATCTTCCCGTTCGTACTCTATAAAATAAAGCAGCGATCTTTCCACATTGGCTCTTCCTTTTCTTCTCACCAATAAACAACGAATATCTTATCCATGGCTTCCTAACTTCCCTCTGCATGTGGCCATGCTCCCCCAAGCAAACCCCACCTCAGTATCTATCTCCACCATAAGCGCCTCGCCACCACCATCGTTGCACCCCACCCGTTTGCGAATTTGCACCAGTGAGACCGTCTGTCAAACCCCGGCAATTAGTCCTGCGTTCCCAAATGACCCAATTCTGAAAGTTGGGTTTTGTAGAAGGGAGCAAGGAGGGGGAGATTTCAAGAGTTGGGTTTGTTTTTGCCATGTTTGTGGTGTGATCTGAAGCAAAAAGTAAGTTTTTTTGTGTGTTGATTTTATGTGAAAGTGATGGGAATTAATAAAGTCATTAGTGTGGTATTTTCTTGGCAGCCTAACAAAGTAGGTGGGATTAGGAAAGTCTATGCTTTTCACCACTATCCTAATGGCTAATGCAAAGTTTCAAACTTGATAGAACTGCTTTTTTGACTGGATCTCCAAATTCAAGGATTTGGGATTTAAAGCCGCTAATTAAGTCAACTTTAGGACTCTATACATTGTCTTTTAAGTGGATGACATCCGCCCCGTTAAATACTCTTAGATTTTTAGCGTGCATCCAGCCGTTAAATTGTCACACGTTGATGTATTCTAGAATTTTTGCTCTGCTTATATGATCGGGACTAATATACATTTTTACTAATGTTTCTAATGGTTTTCTGATTCTGATATTGTGATTTTCTTCTAATCCAAATTCATGGTGTAGTTGTGATCAAAGACTTCAGAAGCAGTTTGTGTTTGGATTGCTTGAGAAGATGGAGAAAAGATTAGAGCTTTTGGTCGTTTTGGTTACTGGGGCAATTTTCTTGCATGTCACTGCGGACCCAGTTGATGATAAGCAAGCCTTGTTTGATTTCATTCACAACATTTCTCACTCAACCTCTATCAAATGGAATGAGAATTCTTCTGTTTGCAAAACCTGGACCGGCGTGGTCTGTAGCAAAGATCAGTCCGGAGTTATAGAGCTTCATTTGCCTGGAGCTGCCTTACATGGTCCAATCCCACCGAGCACTCTTAGCCGCCTTTCGGCGCTTCAGGTTCTAAATCTCAGTTCGAATACCTTGACTGGTCCATTCCCTTCTGATTTTTCCAAACTCAGAAACTTGTCTTCCCTTTGTCTTCAGTACAACAATTTCTCTGGCCATTGCCTTTAGATTTTTCGGTTTGGAAGAATCTTACTGTCATGAATCTCTCAAATAATGCATTTAGTGGGAATATCCCTTCCTCGATTTCAAGTTTGACTCACCTCACAGTTCTGAATCTCGCTAACAATTCGCTTTCGGGTGAAATTCCTGACCTCAATGTTCCTAGTTTGCAGCAGCTTGATTTGGCTAACAATAACCTCTCAGGGAATGTGCCTCAATCTCTTCAGAGATTTCCAAGTTGGGCCTTTTCAGGCAACACTCTTGCGTTCCTTCCTCCAGCTCTTCCGGTTCAACCACCTAATTCTAAACCGAGGAAGAAAGTGAAACTCGGCAAGCATGCAATGCTAGGTATTGTGATTGGTGGATGTGTTCTGGGATTTGTTTTAATTGCTGTTCTGATGATCATTTGCCGCTTACAACAAAAAGGGTGAAAATGGGATAGTTGAAAAACCAAAGAAGGAACTCTTTTCAAAGGAAGGGCTTTCTCGGAAGCATGATAAGAATAACAGGATTTCGTTCTTCGAGGGTTCTAATCTTGCATTTGATCTGGAGGACTTGTTGAGGGCGTCTGCTGACGTTCTTGGCAAGGGAACGTTTGGGACGACATATAAGGCAGCTTTAGAAGATGCAACTACTGTTGTGGTGAAGAGGTTGAAGGAAGTGAGTGTGGGAAAAAAGGAATTTGAGCAGCAAATAGAGATTGTGGGAAGTATCAGGCATGAGAATGTAGCCGCGCTGAGGGCGTATTACTATTCAAAAGATGAGAAGCTTGTTGTTTATGATTACTATGATCAGGGAAGCGCCTCGTCGCTGTTACATGGTATATAAGCTCTCCTCTCTACCTTTTTTTTTTACTCAAGATCAGATTATTACATAAAAGGTTGCTTAATTGGTTCTAATGATGTTTATGCATCTTTAATCTTGCAGCTAAAAGAGGAGATGGCAGGATTCCACTTGACTGGGAGACTCGACTGAAAATAGCAATCGGTGCAGCAAGAGGCATCGCTCATATCCATGCGCAGAATGGTGGGAAACTTGTCCATGGAAACATAAAGGCCTCCAACATCTTCCTCAACTCTCAAGGATACGGTTGTGTGTGCGATGCTGGTTTGCCAACACTGATGGGTCCAATGCCCCCACCAGCAGCGCGTACTGGAGGATACCGAGCCCCAGAAGTGAAAGACACCCGTAAGTCTTCCCCTGCATCTGATGTCTACAGTTTCGGTGTCCTGCTACTCGAGCTTCTCACCGGAAAAAGCCCCATACACACAATAGGTGGCGAAGAAGTTGTTCACTTGGTCCGGTGGGTGAACTCTGTGGTCAGAGAGGAATGGACAGCAGAAGTGTTTGACGTGGAGCTTTTGAGGTATCCAAACATAGAGGAGGAAATGGTAGAGATGTTACAAATAGGAATGTCTTGTGTGGCAAGAATGCCTGAGCAACGACCAAATATGCCGGATTTGGTGAAAAGGGTGGAAGAAATTCGTCAAGTAAACATCGGAACTCGACCATCATCAGGAATATCTACTCCAATCTTAAATACGCCGACTCCTCCATCGGAGATAGCAGGACCTTCCTTTCTACCCCAGTGAGATTCTTTCTTAGTTCTTAGTTACGATATAACTCTGTCAAGTTGAAATTCATTCGGATTTGGATTGTAGTTTGTATGACAATCTCATATTTCATCGATAATCATATCGGTTAGAGTTATGATGTTCGTAAACTTATTTAATTGACGAATTCAATCATAACCTGCTCTTTTTGTCAATTTCTGGGTAAATGGTTACATTACATGTCCAACTCTATACGCATTTCAGACTTCAAACTTACCGATCCTCATAGCTGAAGCGAAATCTGGACGAGAGACCGCATCATTGCTATACATGGCAATGTTCTGAAAGAAAGTTAACGGTAAAAAAACACTGGTTCGACCTGCATTGAAGGCAAATGTCTGCAATTGCAAACAGTTTTTGATGGATTCTCGAATCTACATACAATGTCAATTCAATGGTTTCATACATCCAGATAAAACTGGTTTGAAGTTATAAAAAATTACATGTATCTTTCTTTCGTATAAGAATCACACTGAAATGAGAGCAAGAGACAACGATGTCCTTACAGGTCTGGACTTGATGGTGAGCAGAACCTTGCCATGAAATAGCTAAAGAATCATTCATCTTTCCGATGGACAGAGCGGGTCTTTTGCAGAGTCTACGAAACACAGCAAATCCAATCTGCACTCACTTCTTCAAAATTTTTGTTCTAACGCCCCCTGAAATTCATATAAACCGAAACGACTTAGGGTCACCTAATCCAGCGTAATCATTTACCGAAGCAACAGGGAATAGTTGGGAAAATTGGAAGTGGCAAAAACGTAAAACAAAAGGGTACCAGACCTTCAGCTTCCTCAAACTGAACCTCCTTCACGATTTCTGCCGCTGCATTATACTCAAAACTGCAAAAATTGTATATAACACGCATTCCGTTACAAGATATACAACTGCAATGCTAACATAGTTGGAAAATAACAAAACATATACAAGTAATGCCGAGTATTAGGTACTCCACTGAAAAAGTAAACCGTAAAGGAAAACAAAACGCTCCTAAAAATGATGCTTTCGATCATTACACTAAGGTATTGTCTTATATCATGAAGATTCTAAGAAAGAGCAGTCGTGCAAACAAGCAACACTTTCCTTTTTCTTTTTCCAGAATAAAGCAATCTAACATAGACGCCACATCTGCGATATCCCACATGTCCCCCTCGCACAAAGTAAAGCTGATATTCCCATCTTATAGCATCGAACAAGTGGTAAGGACACGGTAACATGCTGCGCTCAGAAATGAATCTATTGACTCTCTACTATTGGTTGTAGGCGTGACAGACACAACAAGGAATTGTCTGATACAAAATATCAAAACGAAAGACTTGTGCTAGTAGAAACTTGTCTAAGATACCGAATATAACCAATCCACAATGCAATCAATCTCGAGCTTCCTTACTATCCGTCTAACACGAAAGGCAATAAAAAATCACAATAAGGAGCATAAATTTGCATTTACCTGTTAGCGAAGCAAACATCAAGTTCGTAATCAGAAGCACTCTTAGTAGCTTCAACCAAGACAGTAACTATTTCCGTCTTGCGAGTACTGGCCATGAGCACATCATACTCGGTAGGAACGATAATTGCAAAGAAATTATCGCTCAATTCGCTCAAGCACATCTTCTCCACAGCTGCAAGAGCTATCCTCCGCTTAAGCGCATCGGCATCCGGGTCAACAATGTAGATGGCGAAGTCAGTGATCATCAAAATGCGCCGCTTCATCTTCCCGGAAGCAGTAAATTTCAACACTTTATCGGCAAACAGAACCTCCTTATCACCTGCAATATCCAATGCCAACGGAATTCAAACAAATGATTGCAGCGATTGCAATTTCTAAACCCTAAACCAAACACAGGAATTGGATTTCCCAAATCTTCATCCCATTCAATACCAAAAAACAAACGAGAACTAATTCAAAACAACAGAAGTTTGATTTACCAAAATTGAAAGCAAGAATCGAAAATTTAATGGAAGAATTCAAGACCTTGTTTCTGCAAGACTTTCATCAGGTACGGATTTGAACGGACGTCGAGGTAGTCGCCTCTGTATTCTCTGCGAAACGAAGCTTTTCTTCGGACCTTGACGCCCATGAACGGCTCCTGATCTTCAGTCACGTTGCCGTCGGACGGCCTTGCCCGCATACCGCCACTGCCATCTCCGTCGTCGTTGTCCAGGGCTTCCGAGTGGTCCTCTTCTCCGCCCGCCACATCGTACTTGGGAATCTCGGGTTTGAATTCGGCCACTTGGACCCGCCTCGGAACCCTTAATCGCTCCATTTTCAGCTGCCGAAGGACAATCAGACGGTGAGGGAAGCGGAGCGAGGTGGCGTGCCCGGGTGGTGGTTAAGGCTAACTTGCTCCGGGTGTGCGCTGCGCACCATGTGCAGCAATGGGGCGGGCTGGTGAGTTGGATTCTCGAATCTCTAATCAATCATCCACTTTACGCCAACGGCGTACAATAGACATGTCGGCATTGGGGGACCAGCTCAGCAACTGTATGCGATCTTGGACGTCGGAACTGGGGGACCCACGCGTAAATCTACCGTCTATCAGACAAGAGCAAGAGGGCCAAGTGGTTTCCCTCGTAATCGCCGCCCATTCCCGCTCTGGTGGATCGCGGAAACGTGTAGGACAACTGGCATCAAGTAGATAAAATTGGGATAATTAAGTTTAACTCCAAAATGTGGTGTCAAGTTGAAGGTAATGACAATATGTAGTAATTTTGTACAACGTTCAATTCTAATTGGAAATTTTAAACCACTTAGTACTACAGTTTAGTGATATTTTTCTTCATTTGAAAGTGTAAGGTCTTAGGTTTGAATTTTGTACATGGCGAATTCAATTTCAAATTAGGTTGTCCATTATTTGGTTTAGTCGAACTCTCCCTTCCCTTAGTATAAAAATATCAATGTTTTCAAAAAAAAAAAAAATTATTGATAATTTACATGGCACATATTTTTAAGGCTTTTTATTTGAAATAGTGCTAATATTGGTATAACTTTGCACTTTGATCACTATAAAATTGATAGAATTGATTCTTGTGTTTGTTCACTATCAAATCACTTTGGTCCGTTGTTTAGTAAATTGAGAGTATTTTTGTCATTTTGACTCTTATTTAACAGATTTTTTTACGGAATGACTAAATTGTCGATGGACAAACTCAGAAACCACCAATTTCGAAACTATTTTAGCTATAAATCCACATTAATTTACCACAGACCATTTAATACTACAGTCTAGTAATATTTTTCTTCACTTATAAGTAAGAGGTCTTAAGTTTGATTATTGTCCAAGACAAAATTAAACCACATTATTATGGCAAGTTAATTGTAAGTCACTTTCTCATCATCTTTAATGTAGATATTATCTGTTGTTGAAAACAAACAACAAAATATTAATATACTACGGACTAGCAATTACAAACATAATTTACTTAAAATTAATCACACATGGTAGACGGTCCGCCCACGGATCCAATCATCGGTCTCCGTCCCGAACGGTTGACCTCTCCGTCAAAAACTTCTAACCAATGGGACAATTGGCGGCCCGCAGAAAGACCAAGTCGTTTCCAGCCGTTCAACGAACGCGCCTGTGGACTTTTTACCGGGAGCGGCAAACTACGTCGTCCCATTTAAAAGTATTTGTTTTTAAAATAATTAAAAGTGCGAAGAACATATTTTTTATAAAAAGCATTTTAAGTATTTTAAAAACTGAAAAATACTTTTTATAATAGCATTTTTAATCATTTTAAAAACATATATAAATAAATCATTATTTGACGATGGCTTTCGGCGCCAAAAAAACAAAAACAAGAACCAAAAGAAGAAAAAGAGAAAGAAAAGGAAGGAGAGCCGAGGGAGCGATTATCGTAAAGATAACGCCAAGTGGGACCCAGACAGAGGGAACAGAATTTTAAGCCAATCAACGACAACAGGTCGATTCCAGGAGGCGGACCGCAGAAGCATTTATAAAAGTCGTTTCCCCCATCGTCAGAAATCAATCGCGTTTCCCTTTCTCTTCCGTTTCCGTTTCCGCTTCCGCTTCAATCGAATTCGATTCGTCGCCGTCGTCACCTCCGTCTCTTTCGCTCTCTCTAACTGGTCCTATCAGGTACGAATACGATCTCTTCTTCTTCTATTGTGAGAGAGAATTGAGCTGCGTTTGTAGGTGTGTAAGCTGTTGGTTGTGTCGCATGGCTTTTGGTTATGGATTTTGATCTTTGTGTGTTGATTTATCCAGGGTTTCAAAGATGGCGTCCAAGCGGATCTTGAAGGAACTCAAAGATCTGCAGAAGGATCCTCCTACGTCCTGCAGCGCCGGTAATCTCATCTTCCCGTTTTGAATTTTTGAATCCGTGTAGATGCTCGCATGAAATTTCTTCTTTAATTTATCAATTTCCTCTAATCATACTGCTGATTGTGATCCGTTGGTGCTCCGTAGATGTTTGGTTGTCACTTTGCAATGAATAATCTGAAAATTTGAATTCTGTAGTTTATATATGTTGTAAATGTGTATGGGAAAGCGAAACTTGTGTGAATTAGATCAGAATTAATGTAAGCACGCATGTCACAATTCGTGGTCTCGATGTGCCGCCCATGCTGAGATTATAATTGTGGGTATATTTCTATATAAATAAAGAAGAATGTTTGTCATAAAAGTAGATGCTTTTCATCGGAAAATGATCCGGCAAGGATCCTTTTCCTAGGGATCCCTGTGATCGTGGCCGTTCATCGTACATTGTGCGGTCAGAAATCATTTGAAATTTAAAATTTAAAATTAAATATAAATAGTACCTAACAAGAACTAACTGCACGAACGGCCATGATCACAAGATCCCCAGGATCCCCAGGAAAGGATCCTTTTCCCTTTTGATCATATAACTACCCTCCTGTAATGATTTGTTCTCGTGTGGTGTTAACGGGTTTAATTATAAGCATGTGTTGGTGTCGTGGCATAAAAAGTGACACAAACACCGTCATCATCTGCAAACTTGGTGGTACAGGAAATGTAATTGACCATGTCACGAATATGTGTGCTTAATGCTTTGTTCTTCATATCAACTCTGTAACTTTCTGTATTTGACTAATGTTCTCACGTCTCACGATCGATCTTGTACCATTCAAGCACTATGGTTTGGCATACCATTCTTGGGCGATCTTGTGAGAGAGCTTGCTTAGCTAGCTAAAAGTGATTTTGTACGCATCATTTCTGGATATTTTCACCCTTTCCAGATTGTAATGGATTCTATTGATCCAGCTTGGCTACCTGGTCAGATGTTCAGATTATGACGTCGTCTGCAGCTGGATTATCCAGTCTTGTCAGGGGCTTTACATACGACCAGCTGGTTTAAATTATGAAGTTTGCTCTTCATGACCAGACACATTCAAAATGGTTATTACTCTTCCTGCACTGCATATGGAAGTGAATACAATATATAATCTCATTTGCATATGCTTCTATTTTCGCTTTATGATTATGCATGGTTGCTTCAGAAGATACACATATGTATTTTTACATAGGAAAACAGTTGTTTTGAGGATAGATAATGTCCTTTTTCACGATCTTTTTATGTTATCGATCTAGGACCTTGTTTACGCAATCTGTGCAAGCCTGCTCCATTTCCTTCAGTTTGTATTATTCCATTAATTTCTTGCCCCTGTTTTCTTTGGGGATATTGCAGGTCCCGTTGCAGAAGACATGTTCCACTGGCAGGCAACAATAATGGGTCCTGCAGATAGTCCATATGCTGGTGGTGTTTTCCTAGTTACTATTCATTTTCCTCCAGATTATCCCTTTAAACCACCAAAGGTACTACTAACTATCCAATTCTAGCAATGAAGTGTTATCTTTGAACTTCAGTGGTCGACATGATTTGTTTTCTCTCCATTATTCTCGGAAAACTTTGAAAATTTTAACTAATGATGTGATGGATTTTAGATGTGGTTCGAACTTTAATTAATCCTGTGATATTAACTTACCACCCTCAGCACAACGTCTACTTTGAATACCCATATTTTGAACTGTTTTTCGTAGTTACACACTAAGTTTTCTTCGTCTACCACTAAGTTTCAACCACCACCAGCATTTCTACTTGGTGCATCCATTACCCCTCACATTTTCTCGTTCAACAATCTGTGTAGTTTTTATGATCACGGAGTTCTGATTATCTCTTTTTGTCTCCATCACTGATACCTTGATGATTCTGTAGGTGGCATTTAGAACGAAAGTATTCCACCCAAACATAAACAGCAACGGAAGCATTTGCCTTGACATCTTGAAGGAGCAGTGGAGTCCTGCTCTAACTATTTCCAAGGTACCGTCTCGTGTCCTGAAAAGTGAAAGCTCTAACTGTTCACATTATATAAGTTACCGTTGTTACTTTTTGTCATCAGGTGTTGCTTTCCATCTGTTCTCTGTTGACGGACCCAAACCCCGATGATCCACTGGTGCCGGAGATTGCTCACATGTACAAGACAGACAGGAATAAATACGAGACGACAGCCAGGAGCTGGACCCAGAAATATGCCATGGGCTAAAAGAGCGTGTGGTATGTGCCATAGGAAGGCTCCTTTTATCGTTCTCGTTGTTTTAGTTTGTGTAATGTCTTGAATCCTAAGAAAAATGGACCAAAATGAATATTCCATAACTTGTCCTCCCGAGTGAAAAAAATTGAAAAAAGCCAACACATGTTGCTTTGATTAATTGTTTGTATGGATAATGTGATCTTTCGTTATTTGTATTTTTTAGATAAAATTGGGCCTTTGGAAATTGATAAGAAATTAAAAAGCCCGAATAATTCGTATTGGGCTTGGGCTTAAGCAAAATTGAATTCGCTGATTAAAACAAGGGACACAAGTCCCACATCGGGAATTAGTGCTATTCGTGAGACGTTGCTCACAGCACTCGGACATTGCTCAACCAAGTACCACCCAAGAGGGGGTTAGGAAACATGCCTAAGGAACAAGAGAAGGGAAAGAGACTGCCACCGACCCAGGCCACGATTAGGGTTGGTCGCGGCTAGGGTTTGGAGAAGCTGGAAAGCCAGAAGGGCAAAGGTCGAGAGAGCCGTTTTGAGTAAAGGATTTGAACTCGGCCATGAAGGGGATGCATATGGTCTTGCTTAGCTGACCTAACCCACATCTACAATAACCACGTAACTTTGGTGTACTACTTATGAGTGAAACCTCGATATCGGGGCTCTCCTACTCTGTTGAGGCTAGCTGAGGCCTAAGAGGCTGTTAGACTAGCGAACTCCAAATCTAAAATCTCTAGATTTGGGTGAGGCTGGACCAAAATTTTTAAACCCTTGGGACCTATTAAGGTTTGTGGGACTGTATCCACAGAGGCAGTGGATTCATAACGTCCCGTCCGTTGTGTAAATTGGAGTTTGCAAAGATAATAAGAACTTCTTAAAGTAAATTGTCAATATAACAAAATAAAAAAATCACATCCTCTCCACCAAAGATGAAGAGTAACCACGCTGATTGGATTATGTATGTTAGTCAAGAGTGTATGTCATGAATCGAGATCCTCTCTAAATATGTGTCTCCAGATCTTTGTCTCCGGAAACGATAGACCAGTTGACCTGAATCACTTATATTAAATTTTGTAGTCATTAGCACATTCCATTGGCTCACCTCACATAAATCAAGGTTCTAGATCTGTCTTTAACAACCCAAATCACTTCATCCTTAAGCTCCAGACACAGAGATCTGAAGAGGATCTCAGTCCGTTTCCTTGTAGTTTGTTGTTGATTTGTCCTCTCGAGTTGAGATCCATCATTTATATTAATTGGGGTGGAGTAATTCATTGGAACAAAACATTCCCTTTGGACCCAAGAAAAAAAATCATTGAAACAATAGTTTGTATTTCTCAATAGGGTTTACAATGAAGAACCGAGGAAATTAGTACTGTGTAAAGACAATTGGTAATGAAGTTGTGGATACACATTTTGGTAACGAAATTTGCGGACAACCAATGGGGAACACTCATAATAGGGTTACAAGAAGGGAGGTTTTCATGAGACTGTGCATCGTAAACGAGTCAATTATTCAGCTCGTTCTTTCATTGTAATTGGTCCCTCGCTTTCATTACATCGTTATAGATTGTATCGCAAAATAATTGTTGGGCTAATTAGTTCGAATCCACCTCCTATAAATTTGAGTAATTTTATTTTATGTTAAAAAAAAGGATTAAAGTAGCAATGCATGCTGAATGCTGAAAGTAAGACTAATCGGCACAGGCATTAATCACACAGAAAATTGTCCACACAAATCCTCAGTGGTCACAATCATCTCACAACCTCGCAGGGAAACTAGGATCAATCTTGATCAACGCTGCCACTAATTATAGTGGTAACTGAACATGGATTAATGTAATAAGATAAATGTTAAGGGGACTCTCTCATAGTGACTTTTCATGAAGTTTCTGTCACCTTACAGTTTAACGTCAATTCTCGTGCCACAATATAAAATATTATGCTAAAAACATAAGGTGATAGAGAGTCTACGAAGAGTCACACTTTTGAGAGAATCTGTTTAGTGTTGCTCATGTAGTGATCTTGGTTTTAGTCATACCTCAAGCGTTTACTCTGTCATGGGATCTTAATTTTTCTAATTAAAAGGATTTGTTATCAAATATATTTTTTTAATTTTCAAATATTGTATCGAAATTAGACAACATTTCTAGAAAAGATACAGAAGAAGTTCCAGAAAGTCACAAATAAAGAACAATGCCTAGGAATGCAAAGACCAATTTAATACGTTCAACTTCCCATAAATATATTATATATACATACAGTTATATAAATGTATGCATATGTGCCCCTTTGAACTTTAGGTGCCATAATATTAATAAACTTAAAAAATCAAGTGGAGATGGTGACCCATGTTGCATATTTGAATATAATTTTGGCATGAAATTACACGTGTCAGATCTTCCTCATGCAAGAATCTGAGTCCAAACCCTAACTCAAAGAATAAAATAAAATCCGGCATAAGGGTCGTGCCCACGAGTGGGGGTGAGCATGGTCCCTGGAAATCTGGTTCATTACTATTTGACGGATTTAATCCTGATTAGAGTTTTATGTACTTGGGGTCTTTTGTCTCCAACGCGCGAAATGCCATTTCTACTTTTATTGACAAATCGATATCCTAAATTTAGAATATACAGAAAAAGAGATTCAAACTTGAATACAATATAAGAGAGACGTGGACAAAATATTCGAGCAAACTTACCAAATTCACATCTGCAAGTACTCTAATTTCATATTTGAAATATCACGAGATGATTTTAAATCTTACAAGTATTGACTATCTTATAAAAATGGCCGAAAATGTAAAAAGATGGAGGTTTTTAGTGTAGTTTGTTTCTAAGAAAGACAAGACGTCATGTACAAAACCCGACTCGTCTCCGTTGGGTTGAAGACTTGATCAAAAGGCTGAGAAAACTATGACTTCCTGTTCCACTAGAGACTTTTTGGAGGAAGTTAGGTGCGTGTACATCTGTGAAGCTTCTGCTTGCTGCAGCAAAGCAAAGCAGTTATCGAGCAGAACATGTCGATCAATAATCTAAATTCCAATCACTTCTTAAAATACTAATGATGGGTTAGATGATTATTGAGCACTAATCATTGTCTGATTTCGCACTAATAATATTCACTAGAAAAGGCTCTCTCTCATGCACGCCACCGAGTTAGAAAGGATATGATATTTATACCGATTTGCAACGAGTCGTTAATTTAGTTACAGCAAATCATAATAACAAGTGATAATTTACTACTGAATTCACTATAAAGACATTGTTCTAGCATATGTGCTGGTAGAACCTCAAGTGATAGCAGATGCTACTAAATCAACTGATCATATGCCAATTTTCTATTTTTTCTTATCAGTAATCGACAACTCAACAAAAGAAAAAAAAAATCATCAGTCTTTATGTTTGTGCAATTAGAAGAGTATTTATATAGTCTTGGTCTCTTATGTTTTGGGACAATAAAATTTGTTCTCTACCAAATCCTTTTATACAATTAATTATATTCCCAATTTTTTGGGCTTCTAGAAATGAAAAATCGTTATTCTAATTTCTAACCAAACCCATTTGTTAGTAAAGGTTAATAGGAAAAAAGTTGAGATTCCACCGTAAAATCATTGATAATATGTGAAATAGTTTGGTTTACTTATTATGAGCTAATGCGATGTTATCATTCCATCAATATGAGATTCATTCTCAATACGTATTCTCATCAATGATAAATTTTCAGCCACACGTGAATAACACAAATGAAATGACGTAGAGTGTGTGTGGCCTAGGCCTCACACGTAGGACAACTTAGAGACTAAAACCAATATGAGATTTATTCTCTCAATAAATTGGAGACCAAAAGCAATTAGGAGTCCTTACCCCACCAGTATGAGATTTTTTCTCAAAAAATTGGAGACTAAAAGATTAAAACATGTTCTACCAACTCCCTTCCTTTGAGGCACAAAACAATTGCATTATTCATTTTACAATCCCTCATTTCCCTCTGTTACGAAGAAAAAAAAAAAAAAAGGCCCTCATTTCCTTCAATGTCAGACGCCCAATTAGCAAAAAGTTCATGTGTACAAATTAACTTCATCGTGCAAAATATCCTGTTCTTCTATATCTTAATTAATTAAGTAAGTGTGCAAATTAAAGTTTTAGTTGATAATCCGAAGTGAGGCCACATCACCCCCACATGGGGAAGCACACGCGGCAGTTCCGTGATCACCGTCAAGGCGCAAACGCCGCCGGGAACCGGTGATTGAACAGTGATCAGTGTCAGCAGGGTCCCCACTGGCTAGCTGAGCCGGTCACCCACTGTCGTCGAGTCTCGAGACAAGTCTGCATTCCATTGGGGCCATTGCCAATGTATCTCTGAATGGAGGAGTTTCCCAAAACCTTTTCCAGAAGATATTGTATTTGATATTCAACTAAACAGTAGTAATTAATAATAATAAAGAAAATTAGATTATCAGAGACAATGGGAATTGTTGGACTTGGAGTGGAATGAGACTGAATACAAAATGCAACGTACGTACAATCATAAAACATATTTTAGGGTTGAGTTACTGTTTGCATTTTCTGTAGTGCCCTCTCAGTGTAATGGTTCATATAACACATTTTACATTATAAGCGATATTGTTTTATAAGTTACACTAAAGTAAAGAGAAAATTTTTAGTTTCGATGTACATATTTGAAGTAAAGTAGGAGTAGCCGTAATTGAAGATAAGATGAGAGAAAATCGGTTAAGGTGGTTTGGACATGTGAACTGAAGACCTACATATGCTCCGGTTAGAAAGTTTGATTATAAGACAGATACTCGGTGCAAAAAGGTTACAAGTTCGCCTAGGAAAACTTGAAAAGAAACTCTCAAAAAAGACTTGGGTTACTTAGAACTAACGGAAGACTTTGTACAAAACCGAACGCAATGATGTTATAAGATTCATACTGTTGTTACCACTTAATAAGATAAGACTTTGTTATTTTTTTGTACTGTTGATTGAAAAAGAAAATTGTATACACCGGAGCAATGTAACACTTACAAATAATGGATTCTATGCATCATGTTTGTTTAGAAAATATTAAGTTTCTATCTTGAAACTTTTAGAAAATATAATGGTTTCTTTTAATGCACGCATCAGATGCTAAAGTAAAGACTAAAGAAAGTAAGATACTAGGTGAAACTCGGTTGGACAAATATATGGAGTCCAGGTGTAATTCTCGGAGAAGAAAGAAACAGGTGTTCTTCTCTGAACATCTTTCCACACAAGGCCTCCACGTCTTGATTGATCATAAATTTGTACGAT